GTAGTTCTACTCTTCTCTTGCCCACCCAATTCCTCATCTGGGTAGCCTCTACTCTTCAAATTGGTGAGGTTGAAGGCCAAGGAAAGAGAAAAAAATCCAATTGTAATTACCAAAATTGCAAAGAACCCTAAGATTAAAGTCATCCTTTCACTTTAGAAATATACAGTAACAAAAAGAAAACTAATTTATTAAGCTGCATTACAGGTTATAGAGATGTAAAAACTATATCTGAAGACTGATATTTAGCATATTCAAATGTTTGAAAGTAAATCACAACATTGGCTTAAACTAACCACTGAGGGTCCTCATTCTTTTCCCATCCCATGTGCATTATTGTATACTTCAGGAAGAAAAATAAAACAAAAAACAAGAGAGAGTTCATCAAAAAATTCTTGGAGATTGGTCACTCAATTAGGTGTTGTGTTGCACCATTAGTCCCTACCGTTAGAGAGACTTGACGGTAACGGTGCAACAAAACACCTAATTGAGTGACCTCTGCAACTAATATTTGAGTTGAGTGACCAAAATGTAACTTGGGGTATAATTGAGGGATGAATAATCCCTTTGACAGGGTATTAAACAAACCGAAAATTTATTCTTTGACCAAAAAGAAAAATACAGAAATCACTTATATCTAACGAATATTGGTTAAGATATAATTAATTTTGGAAGCACATATTAAAGAAACTAATAAAAATAATAATTGTTACTCAGATGTTTTAAATATAATTTTAATATACCCTATATATCTATTTTACAACTCGATATTCTAAACTAAACTACCAAGAGAGGGATTAAGCTCGGGTTTAAGGGGCGGGGCCACCGGGCACACTATCTTCGACAAATGGCCTAACCCATGTATGCTTAATATATTTCTTTTTAAACATATGCACATTGTTCTCTACAATTGCAAAGTGTATGAAGAACGTGATTAGTTTACATTAAAACAAATGCCCTTAAGAAAACATTTCCAACAGCAACTTCCACAAGAGAAATTAAGCACATACAAAATATATAAAAGTTCCCGAATCTCACAATAGATGAGAAGAGGGAAACCAGTAATTCACCAAGAAATATGGCTTCCAAATACAGAGCAATGCCTTCTCTAATGCCTATGAGATTGTTGCTGGTGCCAAAATATAACCAAACAGAAAAGGACAGTAAGTCTTTTTTTTTTTTGGTCTGAAAAAAGGACAGTAAAGTCTAAACACAATAAAAATCACACAAATAGCTGATTTATGTGACACCCATTAATTACACAAATATAATGGCTTGGGTTCCTTCTAGAAGAGAATAACCTACAGATATGCTAAGAACCGTCCAGTTCAAAACAAAAAGTTGAAGGAAATATGGAGCCATCCTTTGAACTGGTCAAACATGCAGTACTAGTGTAAAACCAAATCAAGCTTGGCAAGACAGTCGGACACAGTACTAAACTCGAACTAAAGTACTAGACAAAAACCTGCACAGCATCCATGTTGCCGCCTAAGGAGAAGTAGAGTCACTAAATAAAATTCTCCATGGGACACGAGACGATAATAAGGCTACAATAGCATAAACTTCACCAGGAGCCGAACCATAAAGCTCCAACAGATACATTTCGACACTTTCGTGAAAATGCCGGCCAATTCTCTGCTTCCTTACCCTATATATGATCCTTTCCCAACAGATAACAGAAGCATAGGCATCAGCTACTATCCCTTCTACCTCATTCACAAGGGTTTTGGTCACCATGGCTTTGATCCCTTTTCTTACTCTCATTTTCCTGTTTAGCTTCTATTGTGTAATTGCTCAGCAAAATGACCTCTTTCCAACCACTACTAAATCGGGCAATTTGCAAACATATATTGTCCATGTAAGGAAACCAGAGGGCAGGGTATTTGCTCAAACAGAAGACCTGAAGAGCTGGCATGAATCTTTCCTGCCAGCCATTACCACAGCAAGCTCAGATGAACAGCCACGCATGCTTTACTCGTACCAAGAAGTGATCAGTGGTTTTGCAGCTAGACTCACTCAGGAGGGAGTGAGAGCAATGAAGGAGATGGATGGCTTTGTGGCAGCACATCCTGAGAGAGTATTTCGTCGGAAAACTACACACACACCCAACTTCTTGGGGCTGCATCAACAAACAGGTATATGGAATGAATCCAATTTTGGGAAGGGAGTGATCATTGGAGTACTGGATGGTGGAATTGAGCCCAACCATCCTTCATTTAGTGGTGCAGGAATTCCACCTCCACCTGCAAAATGGAAAGGGAGGTGTGACTTTAATGCATCAGACTGCAATAACAAATTAATTGGTGCAAGGGCTTTCAATCTTGCAGCTCAGGCATTGAAAGGAGATCAACCTGAGGCACCAAATGATATAGACGGACATGGGACCCACACAGCAAGCACAGCTGCTGGTGCATTTGTGCAGAATGCTGATGTGCTGGGAAATGCAAAAGGTACAGCAGTCGGGATAGCGCCTTATGCTCACCTGGCAATATACAAAGTGTGCTTCGGAGAACCCTGTCCTGAGGCCGATATACTAGCTGCGCTTGAAGCGGCTGTTCAGGATGGTGTGGATGTGATCTCAATCTCTCTTGGTGAAGATTCAGTTCCATTTTTCAAAGACAGTACTGCAATAGGCTCATTTGCAGCAATCCAAAAGGGAATATTTGTAAGTTGTGCAGCTGGAAATTCTGGCCCATTTAATGGCACTCTTTCTAATGAAGCCCCCTGGATTCTAACAGTTGGAGCAAGTACCATAGATAGACATATTGTAGCCACAGCAAAGCTTGGAAATGGAGAAGAATTTGATGGCGAATCTCTCTTTCAGCCAAAAGATTTCCCTTCAACATTGTTGCCACTTGTCTATGCTGGAGTAAATGGTAAAGCAGATTCTGCATTGTGCGCTGAAGGATCCTTGAAAGGTCTCAGTGTTAAAGGTAAGGTAGTTTTGTGTGAGCGAGGTGGGGGAATAGGAAGAATTGCCAAGGGAGAGGAAGTGAAAAATGCTGGAGGTGCTGCCATGATTCTTGTGAACGAAGAAACCGATGGCTTCAGTACATCAGCTGATGTTCATGTTCTTCCTGCAACACATGTAAGCCATGCAGCTGGACTGAAGATCAAAGCGTATATAAATTCAACAGCAACACCAACAGCGACAATCTTATTCAAAGGAACTGTCATCGGAGACTCATCTACTCCTGCCGTTGCTTCCTTCTCTTCAAGAGGCCCCAGCCTGGCAAGTCCAGGTATTCTGAAACCAGATATTATTGGACCAGGCGTAAGCATTCTTGCTGCATGGCCATTCCCTGTGGACAACACCACAAATTCAAAAGTCAATTTCAACATAATTTCCGGAACTTCAATGTCATGCCCGCATCTCAGTGGAATTGCAGCTTTGCTCAAGAGCTCTCACCCTTACTGGTCACCAGCTGCCATCAAATCTGCTATAATGACTTCTGCTGATCTTCTAAATTTGGAAGGAAAACCAATTCCCGATGAAACACTTCAGCCTGCAGATGTCTTAGCCACCGGTGCAGGCCATATCAATCCATCAAAGGCAAATGACCCAGGATTAGTATATGATATCCAACCTGATGATTATATCCCTTATCTTTGTGGCTTGGGCTACAAAGACGATGAAGTAAGTATCCTTGTGCACAGACCAATAAAGTGCTCAAAGGTATCAAGCATACCTGAAGGAGAGCTGAACTACCCTTCATTTTCTGTCACACTGGGACCATCTCAGACATTCACACGAACTGTGACAAATGTTGGTGAGGCATATTCATCTTATGCAGTCAAGGTTACTGCACCAGAAGAAGTCTATGTGAGTATCAATCCCAAAACACTTTACTTCTCAAAGGTGAACCAGAAGCTGTCGTATTCAGTGACATTCAGCCGTATTGGTTCGAGAGGCAAAGCTGGTGAATTCACTCAAGGATTTCTAACATGGGTTTCTACTAAACACGTCGTTAGGAGTCCAATTTCTGTTAAACTCCAGTGAGTAATGGATGCACATCATATAGTGGGCACGTGTTTTTTCATCAAAGTTCATGGTGCTGTATGTGATCAAACATATTTGTACCTACTCATTTCCTTATGTTTTTTCCATCAAAGTTCATGGTGCTGTATGTGATCAAACATATTTGTACCTACTCATTTCCTTATGTTTTTTCAATAACATGGCAACTATTTAAAGACCACTCGGAGAATTTAAGCAAGGGGCAAAAAGAAACCCTCTGACACCCAAGTTACCAGAGATAGAGAAATCTTGGGTCTGCTGCTTCCCGTTGAAAGAATAATTAAAATTAAATTAAATATAAATTAAATATAATACGCAGCATTTAGAAAGAAAACAATGTCACAAATATAGAAATACCATAATCCAATGCACTTTCTCACATCTAACTCAAATTTTATTTTTAATTCAGTAATGAAAACTAGTGATAGAAATCTAATTACTTAACTTACACTGGGATGACCCTATAATTTTCTCACCCAGATGTTGCACACTTTCAGTAAAGAATTAGACATGGAGAAAAGAAACCTTGCTCAAGAATGATAAATGTTGCAAATACTGTCAAGCTTCTTTGCTCATGACCTGCCAAACCTACATACAGATTTCATGTTTTGCTCACACATCAGGGCATCAGGTGTAAGGAAGCTAGTCATTTTAAATACACTGCATAGCCAGGAGCCAGATGCCCTCATGCAACAAAATGTCAATAGTATGAATCATCTCACATTCTATTCAAGGAAATTGCATA